CTTACTCATTCACAACACTGATAAAATATCGGGACCTAAACGATCCATTAAGATCACCGATCACTTCACGTGCACCTCCGCCAATGTAATCTATTGCATAACTTGCACTTATTGCAAAAAGATATACATCGGCGAAACAGGCAGAAGACTAGGTGACCGATTCCGAGAACACCTTCGAGACGTGGAAAGGAATGACAAGGACACATCGAAACCAGTCGCTAGACATTTTAATTTACCTAATCATTCTAAGCAACATATGGCAATCTGCGGTCTTTCCTTACACTTAGGTAGCACGGAAAGCCGTAAAAATCTTGAACAAAAGCTCATCTTTCAAACCGGCAGTCTAAATCCCACAGGGATCAACGAACGCTTTTCATTCCACTAATTTATTCTTGTTTTTCTCGTTGCCATGTTCCCACCAATAACGTAGCTCCATTCTCTGCCTTTAAAAGCACACACAACCCACAATTCCTCTATTCGCTCCGACGAAGGGCTAACGCTCGAAACGTCAGCTTTTGTAATCGTTACGGTGGCCAATTTACCACTTCAACTTTGTTGATATATCCAAATTATTTCGTTACTCCCACCGACGCAGCCCCAAACAGTTTCTTTCGAAACTATCAGCCTTTATTTATTATATAGATACTGATGAAATACCAGGATTTCTCCTTTTACTAAAATATCATATCTTCACTGCGTGCAGTGAAGATACTATATTTATCTTTCACGTGTGAGGATATTGGTGTGGCCATGGTTACCAACATAATTACCCAATTGCTCTTTCGAAAATGAATAAAAAAAGTTGTCTTTTATGTGGAAATTTCATCAGTATCTATATAATAAACAGAACATTACATGGCCGCTTGGGGATACGAATTTTATCTTCTTGTGCTCAAAGTATCTCTCACGAGTGAGTGCAGCAAACGAGTGAGAGATACTTTCATCATGAGAAGATAACATTCATATCCCCGCGCGGCCAGGTAATATCCTCTATGTACATGCTTCTTTTCTCATTTAGGGGATGATCAAGATAAGAGGTGACCAATGCTGGCGGGATCTGACATGTATGAACTATCACTATGAGGTAACTAATTTTGATGACCTGACATCAACTTGAAGATTGTGTTTAATCTTTTACACCTAACATCAGATCAGTATGCATATTCTCCACACTGTTCTCTATACATTTCCTAAGGTGCTGACAAGGAGAATTTGTTTAACAATCAAGAGCTTCTTTAGTTTGTTGATCATTTCCGTTATTAATGTTTGATTCAGGGGGGGATGTTGTAAGGAGAAATTAGATGCTAGTCGCTATCAGGGGTTAAAGGGGTTAAGATGCTACTTTTGATCCCATAAAATATTTTCCCAATCTTTGACAGACTCAGCCAGTGCCAAATCCAATGAGTTATTTTATGCACCAGTCTCCAGAGATATTCCACAAGTGTGAAACTCTGGTCAATCATTTTATCGAGTTGGTGGTTCCATTTTTCATCTTTCTGACGAGACGATTTCGCATTTGGTGTGGCATTTTACAAATTCTTTTTCAGGTTAGTTTTCTGTCTAGTTGCTCTTCCATTCCTCTGCACTATGTACAAAGTTGTGGTTTTAAGCTTTGAATGATGCATCATTTTTTTTTTTGAGAATTGAAGATGTTAATCATTTTTTAGGAGCCAGGAACCAAAAAAATATTAGTTGCTCTGTAGGATTTTAACCTCAGAGCTCACAATTTTGTGGTTCAGGCCGCACTACGCCTCTGAGCTGAAGGGAACTCTCTGGCAAGCTTTAATTAACCCATTGACACTTACGTGTAACACGTGCCGACGAAAAGTCAAAATTGTGGAAAAACCAAGAAGGCAAACACATTGCGCAGTAAATTTTTAAAAATCAGCTTTTCCAAAAAACAAGCTCCAGTGAAAGAGGACTAATTAAAGAACTTATTTCCGGCGAAAACAGCGATTGGTGCATATTACGTTTTAACTCAAAAATCAAGATGAAAGATAAAAATCGCTAAATGTTTTCGCATGTGTGAAAATAGGCATGTGGATCATATTTCAAAAGGGAATATGCAAATTTGTCCGTGAGTGAAGAGATCTCAAGTTCCATGGAATCTATCAATGGGAAGCAAGACTAAAATGGCCAAGAAATGTTTCGGGACGTCAGATTTATTCAGAACAGTTTTTGATTTGCTGTTATAAGCGAAAAACGTACGAATTTCTTACGTGTACAAAGCCCACGCGGTAAAATTCATCATGCTTAGATCGTTGTTTACTTGCCTTCGTGGCCAGAAATTGCGCAGCGTTATGTTGAAAATTCTGAAAAAACTTCGATTTGAGGCAAAATCTTCTATTAAACTATACTTTTTGAACACATTGTTACTCGAACATAATATTTACCGGGCCATCGAATCGTCAAATTGTCGCCAGGCCCTGCTTGAAGTCCGAAAGTTCGGTTTTCACTTTACGTCCATAATTCGCATCGCCTTAGAGAATCGTAGTGTCGTTGACTTGAGAGCTTATTCTGTCACTTTTAAGACCTGGATATCCATTCTTTTCCAAGCAGAGTATTCTATAACATTGTTACTTTACATTCTGAATTCCACAAGGTCTAACTCGAT